TTATAATAATTTAAGAAAACTTTCATTTCTTAATTCTCTCTCTGGGGAGCGCACCATATTCTCTCGCCGGGGAGCTAGGGTTGGTTTTTGCAACATCATTTCGGCGTCGGTGATCTTGATTACGGCCGGTCTCTCTCCTATCTTCTTTTTATTATCGGCGAACCTTTCAGCTTTCATTTCAGCTCCAATTAAGGTTCCCATGGGAACCCCAAATTGCGTGGGTCAAGATGAAGAGCTCTCCCAAAAACTTCAGACAATCTCATTATCGAAAAAAGAAGAAACCTACATAGATCTCAGAAGAGACGACATCAAAATTAGTGCGGACGAGTGTCAACGAAGCTTATTTGGTAAGGTTGTTGGAGATCGAACAACCAGCTGGATAGGGGTCAAGAGAGCTATGAGCAATATTTGGAGATTAAGTCAGCCGATGGACATCAAAGATCTCGGCCCCAAATACTATCAATTCATTTTTCAAGGGAAAGAGGATAAAGACAAGGTGATAAGAGGAGTCAACTGGACCTTCGACAATCAGTACATAATCTTATCCGAATGGAAGAGAGGGCTCTCAATCAACCACTCTACATTCCAAGAGCTTAAACTATGGGTTCAGGTATTCAATGTGCCATTGGACTGGTTGAGCACAGAGGTAGGATTAAAGATTGGTAAAGTTTTTAAGGAAACTCATAATGTGGTGATCGTTGGAGCTGGCATCCACGGTGGTAAAATCATGAGACTCTTAGTCTCTGTGGACCTTAATGAGCCCCTGCCTAGATGTGCCAATCTCAGGCTAGATGAACAAGCGGTAAGTGCGTGTTTTAAATATGAAAGATTGGTAAACCACTGTCATTACTGTGGCCTCATTGGCCATCTAGAAAGGTCTTGTGCCAAAAGACTGGAGGACATCAGCACCAAAACTCTCCATGAAGGTCAATACGGTCCCTGGATGAGAGCACCGGAAAACAATCATTGGGCAAGCCTAAACTCTCAGGGCAATTCAAGCCCTCAAAAGAATGACAACCCCCCTTCGCAATCTACTACCAACTCAGATTCACCAATACCAACACCTTCATCCCCCAAATTTGACAGTAACCAACTGCTCTCAATTGAAGGCTCACCCTCTCATCACAAAACTCTAGCATCAGAAGCCTCTACCTCACATTCGAAACCTACCACTACCTTTAACACCAAGGAACACTCTCCAATCCCACCTAAAGCACCAGTCACTCAAAGTGAAGACAACTCTCATATTTTGCAACTGCAAATAGCTAGCAAGGATATGGAAATAGAGAACTATTCTCTAGCTGCTCCTGATGGCCCTAAGCTGCAACTGGCTATAGAGGGCTCTCAAAATCCCAAGCCTAAGGTGTAGAAAAGAACAACATCAAGCCTTAGCAGGCTGCAAAGTCAAGGAGGCAAATATTCCAACAAGGAGGAAAGAACACCATCCAAGAGAGCTAGAGCAACTACAGAAGACACTAAGGCAGAAGATAACTCTACTCAGAAGAACACAACTGAGAACAAAAAGCAGAAAACTGAAGATTATCAGGTGGGGGTGGCCAGCCTAGAATCGCACCCAAGTGATCAATGCTAGCTGCGGTGTGGAATTGTAGAGGGCTGGGTGGGCCCTCTACAATTTCCCAAATCAGAGAGACCATTAAGGCTCACCACCCTGTTTTCTTTTTTATTTCTGAAACCAAAAAAAAATTAATGGCTTTGTCAAATCTGTGGCTAGGAAACTGAACTGTGATGGTAGAATAGCTATTGTAGACCCAGTTGGTTTAAGTGGGGGTCTTTTTCTTTTTTGGGATTCTAAGGTTAATGTTGTTCAAATCCAGAAAAAGCATTTCTATATTGCTGTTGAATTTTCTCTTGATTCTGCCCCCCCTCAGTGGGGCATTTTTGTTTACCTAAGTACTTGTAAGCATCTCAGGGTTTCTCAATGGGAGGAGATGGTGAATGACAAAGAGTTGTGGGGGGACACTTGGTTCACGATGGGAGATTGGAATGACATAAAAACTGCAGAAGAAAAGATGGGAGGACTAACGAGGAGCAATAGAATTTTAGAAGGTTTTAATGCTTTTATCAATAGTATGGATATGGAGGAACTTCCAATGACAGGATATCAATTCACTTGGTGTAATATGAGGGATGCTGAAGGTTTGGTTGAAGAAAAGCTGGACAGAGCTTTTGCCTCTTACAATTGGAATTATCAATTTCCTAATGCCACAGTTTCTAATAAGGTCAAAAGCTCCTCTGATCATTCTCTCTTACTCTTGGATGTGGGTCACTCAAAGCTCAAGGGTAATGCAAGATTCCACTTTGATAAGAGGTGGATTGGAAGGGAGGGGTTCAAAGAAGTGGTGGAAGCAGCCTAGTCCCAACACTCTGAGAGGACTCCACCCTGATTTTGTCAAACTGCTTATGGTATGCATTTCCACAACAACAGTCTCTTTCAAGGTGAATGGCAAAGTGAGTGGGTATATTTCTCCTTCTAGAGGGATTAGGCAGGGGGACCCTCTGTCCCCTTACCTGTTCATTATTGTTGCTGAGCTTTTATCAGCCATGCTCACCAGCTCCCAACAGCTAGGAAGTATTCAGGGTCTCAAGCTTTCTAAAGATGGCCCTGCTTTATCTCATCTGCTTTTTGCAGATGACTCACTGTTGTTTTCCAAAGCTGGAGTGGATTAGGCAAGACATCTCTTAACCTTATTGGAGAAGTACAGGCTTTTTTCCGGGCAAAAGGTTAATTTGCAGAAATCTGGGGTCTTTTTCAGCAGAAACACTCCACACCCTCTAAAGGACAGCATCTGCAGGGTTCTTCATGGAATTGTTCCTCATAGATCTACAAGGTACCTGGGGCTTCCCTTGGAATTGGGAGATCTAAGGTTGAAGTTTTTGATTACATCCTTGAATCTGTTAGAACAAAGCTGCAAAGTTGGAAGAATAAGCTCTTGTCCCCCGCTGGGAAGGAAGTTCTATTAAAATCAGTTATTCAGGCTCTTCCCATTTTCTCAATGACCTGTTTTAAAATCCCTGCCTCTATTTGCAATGAAATATCAAGGCTCTATGCAGCTTATTGGTGGAAATCTGGAGATCAGCAGGAATCGGGCATACATTGGAAGAAATGGGATAAGGTCACCATTCCAAAGATCAATGGAGGGTTGGGGTTTCTTGACATAAGTCTCTTCAACCAAGCTCTAATATGTAAACAACTTTGGAGGATAGCCACAAATCCTGACCTGCTGGTTAGTAAAATATTTAAAGATAGATACTTTCCAAACTGCACCATTTACAAGGCTGAGAAAACAAAGAAAGGATCATGGCTGTGGCATAGCTGGCTATCTGTGATGCCCCTATTTGCAAAGTGTATAAAGATAGAAATTACGGATGGAGCTTCAACCAGAATTGATGACTTGAACTGGGTTCCAAAGTTAAAGAAGCCAAGCCCCTCTCTGATTGAAATTGCAAGGGGGCATCTGATTTGGGTCAATGAGCTGCTGCAGAATGAAGGAAAAGATTGGAATGCTTGGCTGGTGAATCAAGTATTTGACCCTGAAGAAAGTGCAGCTATTCTTAATATCAGTACACTTAATCCAAGAAGACCAGACAGATGGCTTTGGGGGTTAGGTCCAAAAGGGCAATTCTCTGTGGCAAGTACTTACAAGCTCCTAGCTAGCCACAAGGTCAGTTTGTTAGACATCCCAGAAACAAGCTCCAGTAGCATCAAACCTAACAATCTGTTCTTGAGATGCTGGAATTTGAAAATCCAAGGGAAGATTAAGCACTTCCTTTGGAAATGCATTTCTAACACACTCCCAGTTGCAGTGAACTTGAAGAAAAGGGGAGTTGCTGTTGACTCGGTCTGCCCGCTTTGTGGAGAGCATCAAGAATCAGTTGAACATTTACTATTTCTGTGTTCAAGGGCTAAAAGGATCTGGAGCACCGCACCTGTGCAATGGGATGGTCTCACCCACTTATCAGACTCATTCAGAGCTTAGTGGAGTCAAGTCAGTGCTATAAGGCAAACTGAAGTGGTGGTTGATAGAATCCAGTTGTCCACCTATTTGCTGTGGTGGCTCTGGAAATCCAGGAACCTATGGGTCTTCAACAAATCTCTCATGCCTGACCATATAGTGGTAGCTGCAGCTCTTAAGGATTGGATGGAGTTTTCAGCTGTTGAGGGCTGCAGTTCTATTTAGGTTGGTTAGTTTTTTCTGGTGTTTTTCTTTTCTTCTTTGTTGGCTTTCTGGTTTTGGTTTGGAGGATGTGTTTTCTAGCTAGGCCTTAGGGCAGTGGAAAGAAGCATATACTCTTTCTTTTCTTTAGTTTGTTGAGGTTCTAGATGCTAGCCATAGTATCTCTCACTTTTTTGTTTAGTAGGCTTTGTTGTATTCGAACTTGGTTCGCGTTGGTTTTGATTATATATATCATCTCTATCGTTCCGACAAAAAAAAAAATAATAATAATTTAAGAAGATATTTATTTTATTTTTATACATCATATATATTATATGATTATTCATAAATTAAATTATAATATAAAAAATTATATTCGGCCACAAATGCTTATAGGGCTTTATATAATGATATATTTGTATTAGTTAATATGTATATGAATACACAGTTTTTAGTGAACTTGCATGCATTACTGATTAGACTCTTTAATTATGTCTCTATAGCTACCAAGCCTACCAATCTCGAAATTTTCTCTGGTATAATAAATCCTGAAAAATCATAACGATGCTTTTTGTCTTGAAGGTCTTCTCTATTTTCCGCCAACAGATATTACTCGATTCAAGCCTATAACCATAACAAATCCTGAATATCAAATCTTCAAAAACCAAGGTCTATAGAAAAAAGCCCACAAGGTTTTATCATCCGCCGACAGGACCGAAATTCCAAGGCTCCTCACCAAGTTTTGCTCTTTTGTCCCTTCAGGTAAGGATACACAGGCCAAGAAATATAATATTAGTCTGGAGAGTAATTTAGAAGATAGTTGGCCTACTCGTGAGTTTTAGCACGCTTGGATGTTGGAGCCTCAGCTTCTCTAATAGCATTTTCAACTACTTCATTTGTCGACTCCTTTTCATTGGCCTCTTTGAGCCCCTCTATCTCTATGCCCGACTTTTGTTGCTTCTCGAACATCATTTGAAGGTATCGCCCTTGTTCTTCTATTCGAAGCTGCAAATTTCTTTGGATCTACGAAAACGACAAATATAGTTAACCATAAAATTACGAATTACTAAATAATAAAGAATAAAAAACCCATTAAAATTTATATTCTCTATGTTGTATTGGACAGTAACATGTAAACCTACCAAATGAAAGACCTGATCAGGTGGCCTGATCATAGTTTCCTATAAGAAAAAGTAATACCTCAAGTTGTTCGTGAAGCCTTTTTTGGACTTCCATCTGCAACCGCAGAGCTTCAGTGATCTCAATACCCCTGTTCCGAAACCCGATGAAATTTGAATCAGCCAGAAAATGGGTTTTGTGCAATTTCGAGGGAAAACAATGAATTAATTTGCAATCAGGCTAAAGAATACATTTTTTTTAATTCACATTAATTAATATACTACGAGTTATAATTAGCAACAAGTAAAAAAACTCAGCTTACGTTTTCAAGTCCAGAGATGGAAGTTCTTCAATAGAGGTCGATTTTCTTTCCAAAGATTCTGCAAATAATTGTAGGCTAATTATGTAGGTAATTAAATAAATCCAAAATATACATCTGATACGCCAAAAGTATTCTTTTCGATTTCAAGGCGATAAAGTTCCAATAACAATAAAACGAGGGAAAGGGAACAGGAAACATATGAGGCGTACAACAGGTTGGTCTGCATGCGTCATTATCAAGAAAACAATAGGAATATGAAGCATCTTAGCAGTACGCTGCACCACATCAATGGTAAGAAGTGTCGAGCAAATGAAACTAAATCTCATCTTAGAGTGGTTAAATAAAGCCCTCTGTCCCAAGTTCATAAATTGTGAAAAGACACTAAGACAGACACAAAGTCATCACGCACCTTCTGTAGAGTCAGGTTTGTATCTAGCTGTGCGGTATTTCTGCAGATTAAGAAACAGATCCCTTTAGTTGAGAAAAATGATGCAGTCCATAATGAATTTGGGTCAACATAATATAATTGTATGCTCACAAATAGTACCCTTGAGATCTGACCTTATTCTATGTAAAAAGAAAAATCCCTTAAGTTGGATTCAGAGTTGTATTTATGGGGATAACTGTAATTACCCTAATATATATACACACCTGTAGATGGCTCTTAACATGATAGATTGTCAAGCCTTCGTGTTTCATTAACTTCAGGACACCCTTAGGAGTAGCTCCTGCAATAAAATCAAAGTGATTGGTGTGATTTTTCAAGGCTTGTAATTTTAAGCAAAAACGAAACCTACTTTCACTTCCACCAAGTTTGTTGACAGCCTCCACAAAAGACTCGTGAAGCTCGGGGGTCCAACGCATGCGCTGCTTTCCAGCAGAACAACTACTAGGTGAGGACTGAACAGCAGCATTGCATGTCCCTTGAGCTGCAGCTGGTGGCATATGGGGTTTCATCGATACACAACTAGTTGACTGTTTGGACGTTTGACACAATACCTACATTAGTAGAAAGAGAAACAGGTTAAACCAGTTCATGGTCTCTGTCGTGTAGATAGTAAAGAAACAATTATATCTATATATATAATATATATATATATATATATATATATAGAGAGAGAGAGAGAGAGAATACAAACTAGCCCCGAGTATTTTTTTTTTTTTTAAAAAAAATATGGAGGGAGGTGAGGTGGATGGGAGAGGTTAAGAAAATTTCAAAACAACACGTGAGGTTAGAATCCATCTTACACTTTGTCTAAACAGTTAATTAACATGAAAAAATCAGCTGATGTTCATCATATGATACAGTTGCACCCCTCAACTTTTCAGGGGTTTGTAAATTGCTACAAGTATTTTAAATATTCATGAAGTTTTGGCAAAGAAATGGGCAACCAACTTCAGAAAAGTTGGGTAAGTTTAGAAATATTTTATAGTGACATCAATTTTTTTGTAGCTCCATTAAAGGCCGGTACAAAATGAAAAGAAGAATCGATATTCAAGGGTCAATTTTTAAAATATTTAGAGTTAACTCGGCTTTTCTTCTTCTTTTTTTTTTTTTTTCTTTTTTATATTATCCCTATAAGAGACGCATCCAAATAGACTTAACCTGAATCATTACCTGTGGATCAGCAGCATTTGCATCAGCAAGAATCTGACTCCAATCAGAAGTCAAAGCATCATTATCACCTATAAGTTGATCGGCCCAATCCTGCCAGTCATTTGTTTTTTCGAGATCCTCAGCAAGTTGACTACTTGGAACCGTATTAGTTAATGGAAACTCCAAAAACTCAGAGAGTGTATCAGTACTCCAGGAGCCATTTATGTTGTCTCTATTATACTGGCACAATGCAGTTGACTCATGGACTCCAGCGTCAACGGACTGTGGTGCTAGAAATGAAGAGGCTGTATCTGTTGACTGAGTAACAAACGGGGATTGACTTTCTTGCTGTTGGTCGGAGGAAAAAAGAAAATCATTGGAAAATCGGGAGGATGACGAAAATATATGGCCAGCAACCCCGTTATTGGAAGGCAAAGATGAGTCGAGCCTCTTCTCTAGGAGAACATGCTGGGACTCGGAGTAATTTGGAAAATTTCTCTCTAGAGGAGTCGCGAAAACAGGCAATGAAGGACGTTGAGCTCCAGAGGCCCCACAATTATCACGCTGTCTTCCACCTGGCCTCTGAATGGATAAAGCTCGTTTTGTTTCCATTCTCAGCTGGTGTTCAATAATGACGCCTCCAATAAAAGTTGAAACAGGCTAATCAAGTTCCTCTAGTCACCCCTGTAACCCCACCATAAGTATAAATGTCCATTAAGTTCATAATCTAAAATGGAGGCAATATTCGCAGAATATCACAAGATCTACTGAAAGGAGAATGCACAGCAAATATCAGCCATCTTGCCACTCATAATGACAAATTGAAGTTTACTCATAGACTAGAAAGAATATGGACTAACATCACGAGTGAGATGCGATTAATGAAAAACATTAAGTAAATAACATATCTTGGGTTTCGCAGTTAGATAGTAATCTCAATCAAACATCTGAATACCGTTTTCCATGGCTAAAAGACTCGTAATTCTTCACATTTACAGCATTAACCATTTATTGGCTGATAAATATTTTTCCACTTGATAGCATAGAAAAAAAAAGGTTAACCAGCATATCATAATGCAAACACTTGCACATCATTGAATTTTCCTTCATCCATATCAAGCATCAGCTTAAATTCGTCTCAAATCACCTCGAAAAAGTCATCTGATAAATCCTACAATCCAAGCCACGCAGAAAAGCAATCGATTTACATGCATACCGAATTTCAGACAATAATCAATAAAAGAAAACCTCGAAATTCATACGAAGCCGACGAGGCTCATAATCAAAAGCAGAAGCAGTACCTTTCCAGAGGAGCAATTCATAATCATCACCGCACATAATTAAAGCAATAAATGCTTATTCAGATACAAAATCATGGGAAAGTTTAACCTGAGATTACGAGACAATCAACAGCCTACGGCCGGGCAAACTCCATCACCAAAATCAGAGCAAAACCATAGTTTTAATCGCAAACCAATGGTTGGCGGAGCTATTCACACGTATACGAAAGCTAGGTATACACGTGGCTGTGCGTGGATACAACGCGACCGTCGGAGAGGTGAAATCAGGCTCCGGCACCGGCGAGTTGTCGGATGAATTGAACGGTGATGAGTGCGCCTTTGGTTTTTCTTGTTCTCGGTTGTGTCTGCAATTCAGGTGTGCCTGGGCGCTGGCTGCTTTCAATATTCCAATCAACTTCTGTTGCATTTTTTATTATTATTATTATTATTATTATTATTATTATTATTATTATTAACTTTAACTTTGTAACTTGTATCATATGATAATTGATAACGATAGATAGATTTATTTAATTTATAGATAATAAATTTGTTATCTATTATTTTAATTTTTAAAGTAGAAGTGTTCATTATAAATTTTTAAACACATTTAAAAAGTTCTATTATTATTTTTATTTAACATGATATCAATCATCGGTAAAACTCTTTCGCCCTACATTATAATGCCTTATAACTCATCATGAATTTGTTTAGTTGATATATAATAAATTTATATTTCACTTTTTGAAAGATAACATAATTTTATTAGTTTATTTCATATATGTAATATGGATATTAAAATCAAACAACGTTAAGGTTAATTAGTTGATATATCATAATAAAAGTTGATTGCAAATAAAAGATTATTAAATATGTATGTATATAATTTAAATAAAATTATTATTTAAAATATATAAAATGAAAAAATATAACTACGAAAAGTTAAAAATTAACAAATATCTCTATGGACTTGATTGGCATAGGTAGTTTATCTACCAATAATAATATCGTGTTTGATTGTTTAGGTAATAAGAATTTCACATTTTCATTCTTGTGACGTGTTTAAGTATAGTTCTAAGAGCATTTTCAATTATCAAATGTAGTTGTAATTAATTATATTCCACATCAATATATTTAGCAATTGTCACAACTTTTCATCTTTCAATGCAAAATGTAATCATAGATGTTGTGATAATGTGGACATAATTAATGTCTACAATATAGAGAAAAATGTGATTTATTCACATTCTTCTCCACAATCTAGCTAACAAATAAAGAGAAGAGAGAGAACTATTCTTACTAATTCTAAATTATTTAATTATTTAATTATTTTTTACTATATTTTAATATTTGGTAAGTAGATAATATTGTAGTTAGACTACATTGTGCATTGGAGATTATTTTTAAATTTCATAGTTACAAACTTAACATATCTTCTACATGGTTCACAATTCATTTAATTTATTGACATTTGTCAAAATTTATTCTATAACAACATTAGATGGGGATGCTCTAATGCTCGAATATTGTTGTGGTAAATTACATTTCACATCAACATATTTGACCATGTCACAAATTTGCATCCTCCAATGCACAATGTGATCACAAATGTTGTGATGATGTGTACATAGCTATAGGGGTGCACATAAATCGGTTAACCGACCGGAACCGACCGAAACCGAAATTTTGGTTTCGACCGAAACCGAAACCGAATATTTGGTTCGGTTTTCGGTTTACATTTTCTTAAAATTTCGGTTTTCGGTTCGGTTTGGATAATATTGCTCGGTTAACCTAACCGAACCGAAAACCGATATTGTTCAAATAAATAATAAAGGCCCAATAATACACCCAGGCCCAACCCATATTTTTGTGTAGCACTTTCCAATATATTACCAAGTTCCATGTTAACTAATGGCCCAATAACCAATTTCATTTTCCTCTATACCCAATTTAATCTTTTCTGTGAAATCGTGCAGGAATCCATTTTCTTTCCACCTTAATCCAAATCACGAGGCAACGAGGGCACAACACAGACACAGAACACAAATCATTCATCTCTCATAAATCTCAATTTCTCTTTCAGGGGTCACAGCAACACATACACCCACTAATTTTCACACACGACACCTCAATTATTTTTCAATTCTTCCCCAAATTCTCTTCATTCACAAGGGCTAAGACCACAGATGTGAGATTGACAACGACTGGAGGCGATTTGCGGTGGCTCCAGTGCCGTCGTTCGCTAACGATGTCGCAAATTGTAACCTGAGAGCGACCGTCGGGCTCTGTTCGCAACCCCGATTTGGTCTGTTGTGGCTTGTCAATACTCATATCTGGCTAGACTGGCTTTTTTTTTTTTTTATCTCTGAATCCGGCAAGACTAATGTTGTATGGCCTCGGGTGCTGACCTGCTGCTAATGAGGAGCTGCAAGTTCGGCCACCGATAACCGAACCGATCCAACCGATAAATTTTCGGTTTGAAACCGAACCGAACCATAAATTTCGGTTCGGTTTTCGGTTTACAGGATTGATAAACCGAAATTTCGGTTAACCAAAATTTCGGTCGGTTCGATATAGCTAATGTCTAAAATGTAGAGAAGAATGTGGTGCATCCACATTCTAGTTAACCAATGAAGAGAAGAGAGAATTATTCTTACAAATTCTAAATTAATTAATTATTTAATTAATACTAGTACGTACCCCGTGTGATGCACGGGACAAAAATATTAAATGAGCTATTTTCACAGCCTTGTCCGTTTAAGTCTAGAAAGTCTAAAAAGTTATTATTTATTATCTACCTCTTTTAATCAACGTTAAGTCTAAAAAATTATTAAGCCGCCCTCTGGCAAATATGTATGGAATTATGTGTTCGTGTCTCATAAGTTACAAACATTATGAATAACATTACAGATTATTCATTCAAACTTTTTTTCATTGCAAATATATTAAAATAGTTTATATAACAATCATTAAATACCACTTTCAATATATTTATAAATAAAAAGTACATAAAATTTCTGGTGTGTTCAAATTTAAATAATTTTTGATGGGCTCAATTTTAAATCATCTAGACATTTGGTCAAACGCATAGGTGTGTTCAAATTTAAATCATTGGCATTTTGGTCGGTTGAAATTTAAATCATCTACCATGGTACAGTGATGTGTATTATATATATATACCAGTGTTTTCAGACCCGGCCCGGACCGGCGGGTCGACCCGGGACCCGGTCGACCCGAGGCCAGACCCGGGCCGGTTTGGTTAATTAGACCGTCTTGCATTTGGCCCGCTATTGACTCGGGTGACCCGTCCGGGTTTGTGGTGACCCGGCGACCCGGATGACCCGAATGGCCCGGTTTCTTTTAATTTTTTTCTCTGACCCCTGTTCCTATTGAGGTTAGAACGTAGAAGTTGAAACGATTTTAACCTAAAGCCCAAAGGAAAATATTTCTACTGATCTTTTCTCCCATCTTCTAATCTTTCGGGCGAGAACATAAACCATGCCGGGAAAAAGGAAAATCTTTGTGCTTGTCTATCCGACTCTCAAACATCTTGTCTTCATCACTAGTAAGGTATGAAGCTTCTGTAATTTTTTTCTTTATTCTGACTCTT